CCATACTACCAAAACTGCTATACAGATTCAATGCAATGCCAATTGAAATTCCAACACTATATTTCACAGAAATAGAAAAAAGAATCCAAAAATTCATTTGGAACCATAACAGACCTAGAATAGCAAAAGCCATCCTAGGCAACAGAGACATGGCAGCGGGTATGACAATTCCCAATTTGAAACTATACTACAAAGCCACTGTGATAAAAACAGCATGGTACTGGCAAAGAAACAGACCTGAGGATCAGTGGAACAGATTGGAAGACACAAAAACAACTCCAGATGTACTCAGTTACGTCTTCTTTGACAAAGGAGCTGACCATCCTCACTGGAGGAAAGATAGCCTCTTTAATAAATGGTGTTGGAAAAACTGGATCTCAACCTGCCAAAGATTAAAACTAGACCCTTATCTTTCATCATGCACTAAATTAAAATCCAAGTGGATTAAAGATCTAAATATTACAACAGAAACACTAAATTTGCTGGAAGATAAGTTAGGCAGAACTCTTGAAGACATTGGCATAGGAAAAGACTTTATGAACAAAAGCACCGGAACTAGCAGAAAGAATCAACAACTGGGATCTCATCTTATTAAAAAGCTTCTGCACAGCAAAAGAAACCATGAACAGAACTAAGAGATAACCTACAACGTCGGAAAAAATTTTTACCAGCTGCTCCTCAGACAAAGGACTATTATCTAGAATCTATAAAGAACTCAAAACAATGAGCCCCCCAAATATAAAGACCCAATTCAAAAATGGGCATCTGAAATGAACAGACATTTCTCAGACAAAGAAGTAAAAGCAAGTAAATATATGAAAAAATGTTCCACATCACTGGTCATTCGAGAGATGCAGATGAAAACAACACTGAGATTCCACCTCACCCCACAAAGAATGGCTGCTATCAAGAAATCACACAACAAATGTTGGTGGGGTTGTAGGGAGAAAGTATTTAATTTTTTAGAGCTAGTTAGATTTTCTAAGGCAAATCTCTTCTGTTATTGACCTCTGTAGAAAATTTTAATATAAGAACATTATGCTTACAAGGCTATATTTTAAATTAATACTACCTGGGATAGAAGGAAAACTAGAACATGGTATGACCATTATTTGTATCTCTTACTAAACGCGGAGGTTTGTGCTATAAAGATGGGCAAGTTGCCAAAGAAATTTTCCAATTTGGGGACCAAGGTTTAGAATCTCACTCCACTTTGAGGTTGGTAATCAAAACTGATATAAAAGATACTCTCGGGACTGCCTTTTGCAAAGGAAAGTAACAACCACATTTAACGTCACAAAACACCCTCTTTAAATTGAAAGTTGTTGCCTGGTGTGGCAGGGTATGCCTGGAATCCCAGCCAGCACTTGGGAGGTTGAGGCAGGAGGGTTGACACAAATTTGAGGCCAGTTTGACTACATGGTGAGTTCCTGTTTCAATAAAATAGTAAATTCGAAGTTGGAAGAAGACCAGCTCAATTAAACATTTTCCAAGTGAGAAACAGTTCATCTGTAACTTATATTTCCAACCAAATACTTTTGAGTAATGACCACCCAAATGAATACAAAAGCATATGATTTTGGTAAAATGTTTGAATTAATTGTTCACTATAGATAGAGCTATTTAGGCTTTCTAGAGGTAGAGGTGTCTGTCCTCCAAGGTTTCTCTTGGTCTAGTGTGGAAATACCCAAGTGCAACTTGTAGTGGCCTGAGGAAAGTACAGTACCTAGACAATAAGACTCGAAGAAAGTACAAGATCCTATTTGTGGTACCTATGTGATTTCTGGTCCATTCGAGGTATGACTGAAAATACAGTGAATATTTTAAAAATTTATTATTGTGAAAGACACATTGGCATCATTCCCCCTCAGAATACTCCCACTCACCGTTGGGCACTTATCCCATCATACTTGACACTTTGTAAAGGAGTTCTGGAAGTCCTCTTTTGTGAGTATCTTAATACGTGATCAAAGATCTAGTCAGTGCCACTGCTGACTGCCATCCAGTAGAAAGTCAGGCTTGAGCAAACACTATTTGACATCATCCACCTTATTCACTGGACTTGGCCCTGAGCAACTTCTGGCTCTTCCCCACCATCAAAACAACCATGAAAGGTAAATGTTTTGAGCCGATTCAGAGCACTGAGGCAGCTGTGACAGCGCAACTAAAGACATGCATGAGAGGACTGCGAGAACCGTTTCAGAAAGTGGCAGGGATGATGGGGTGTTTTCAAAGCAAGAGGGAATGTTTGGAGGGGGGTTAATGGCCATGTGTTTTTGATAAAAATTTAAAGCATTTAAAGATGTGCCTTATTTTTCAGTCACATCCAGAAGGATCAATGGGTTTCTTGCCAGTCTGGCCATCAAGGATGGGGTGTTCCAGGCTATGAATGCAAAGGCATGGCTGCTGAGTCCTGGGGTTGTAGTGGGGACATAGCAAGAGAGGTACTGAAGGAACTATTATACCAAGCGATAGATACTGTGCCATCTCCAGAAACCATGAAGGATGTCTGACCTCTTAATTTCTTATACTTCTTAATACTGTTAATGATTGGGGTCAAAGAGATATGGAGCCCATAACCCAAAACAGAAACAAAGAGAGCAACCCCAAAGTGAAGGTATTATAATTAGAATATTTAGAGTAAATGATCCCCCATATCGTTTAAAATTTTTTGTCTTATTCATGATTTGTTGTATGTTGACAAGGAATTGTTTCAAATTTTGATAGCAAAAATCGCTGAAGTTTGCCAAATTTTACCTGTTTTTCTCCACAGTTCTCTTAACTGGAAGAAATAGGATACATTGTGCAGATTTTAAAAGCTGCGAGTGAAATTCATGCTGTCGATTTCAGTGTTGATTTATCTTTCTACTTTGGCTTTTCCAGGACTTTTTGTCTGTGTCAGATATTATTGACTACTTCAGGAAGATGCCACTTCTGCTCATTGATGGGAAAAACCGAGGCTCCAGATACCAGTGCACATTAACACACGCTGCAGGGTATCCATAGTAAGTCAGCCCTGCAGAGGCAGCTCCCTCTTGCTTCTTTTGGCAGTGTGGGAAGAACAACTGTGGTGAAGGGGCGAAAATGAGCCTGTCAACATCGACACAAGAGTTTTGTCCTTCCCTTTATAAACAATGTTTGAAATGAAGACTGTCAAATATTCTATAATTTATTTATTCTTTAATGTTTGTAAAATGCAAGCATAATAATGCTCACATCTGAAGTCTAGTAATGCACTGAAGTACTTCATTTGAAAAAGCGGACATGTATTTTTTAATACCTGTTTCAAAGTGTAATAGTTTATATAGCTACAGAAATAAATGGGGACAAGTTTAAAAACACTTAGACGATACTAGGTTTGGATATCCCATAAAACTCGTTATTTTAGAGTTAAACTTTGTCAGAGGCAATTATCAATTTTTATACCATTTTAAAAGTACTATAATTCATTTTCTCAGCAGCAGTAATTTCAGAGACTTCAGAAATATAATTTCATTCTTATTTGTTGATTTATTTTGCTGGGGGATTTTTGTGTACTTTTTATGACATAATAAATGCATGTTGGGACAATTTCCTGGGATTAAAACTGTCTCACTTTTGTGTCCTTAAAACAACTTTGTTGTTTAATTCATCCTATTATATTTTTGTGTTAAAGCAAATTTAAACTACAAGTACCAAAAGAAAATGTTTTAAATTTAGAGGTGAGGCTTTGGTATCAAATACATCTAGGTTTAAATCGTCATTTTGTCACATCCCTACCCCACACCTACACTGTATACCCCCCCGTCCCACCCAACTCCAAAGCATAGTCCAGTCATGCTGATTTTACTAACAACTTCCTGATATGATAAAGGAGCAATGTTTATACACAGGCAAATTTGCTCACACTTTCCTTTTTGATACTATTTGTATTAGTCAACTTTTTCATTACTGTGACAAAATACCCCAGATAGTCAAAAGAAGGAAAGGTTTATTCTGGCTTATGGTTTCAAAGTTTTCAGTCTATTGCTTTGGGTGTGTGAGGGAATAGGAAGGAGGAAGTGGAGCCTATTTACCTCATGGTAGCTGGGGAACAGAAACAGACAAGAAAAGGTCTGGGTCCCATATTCTATGCCCCAAATGATGTAACTTCCTTCCACTAGGACTCCCTTCCCATTTCCTCAAGGCTACACCTTCTGGGCTGGATATCAAGCCTTTAACATACAGGCTTTTGGGGGACACCTGTATAAGTCATAGCACTGCTTTTCATTTGAATCCCCCTGACAAGAGGGTCACAAAGCCCCCTCTCTTCATCCTTTCCCAAGTTGGCTTTGGGAATCCTTCAAAACAGTTGAACTAACTGTTTATAAACTTCACTTGAAAAGTACAGTTCCCAGCTTATGATTTGACTAAGTATTTCAATTTTATGATGGTATAAAAACAATAGGCATGTAAGTAGAGACTATTTTGAATTTTTTTCTTTTCCTGAGCAAGCAATATGTGGTATGATACTCTTATGATGCTGGGGAGCAGGCAATTGCAGCTCCCAGTCAGCCATGTGATCCGAAGAGGAAAACGACCAATATTCTGCAGTGTTAGACGTTGCTGCGCTTTTTGAATATAGACATTCAATAAAGTACATGAGACAATCAACACTTTAGAGTTTGTGGTAGATGATTTAGCCCTACTATAGATTAATTTCAAGGGTTCTGAGTATGTTTGCAGTAGGCAGGGCTAACCTATGATGTTTGGTGGGTTAACTGTAGCAAGTGCATATTTGATTTATGACCGGGTACCTTCTTCTACCCACCATGTGGAAGAAACCAGTCTACAAAAAGAGAATGAAATCAACACACAGAAGCACAGCTAATGGAAACAGGAGGTGAATTTGTAGAGTCCATGAAATCTATTCCAATTACAGACTTCCAAGTCACATGATCCAATAAATACATCAGCTGGTATGTTTGGCACTGTCTACTAGAAGAATTCTGATTAATATAAACTCATATGACCTTCACATGTAATTTAGTAACTCTCTACTAACTTAAAGCAAATTCAAGCATAAAGTAAAGAATAAGTAATGCCTCATGGCCAAATTCCCATGTCATACTCTTTCCTGTAGAGGAACAAATCAACCATCTTCAAACATTAAAACAATAAAAGAGCCTTCAAGAAACTGAAATGTTTATTTACAACTCTATATTATTTTTACTGTTTTTTAATTGTATGAAGTATATTAGTAAATTCAGTTTTCTCAGATATTTGCTAATTCAACAACAACAACAACAACAACAACAATACCCACCAGGAACCCATAATAACTAAGAAAGAAATCAGATAGAAAAACTGTTTGGAGCAAGGGATACATCTGATGGTTCAGACTTTTCAAATGGGGCGTTGTTTCCTTCAGTTTCCTCTGTCTTCATAGGATAATTAAACTGCAGAGTAAGGTCACAAAGCAGTAACTGGGAGAGCTCTGAGTAAAACAAAACAATAGCAGATATATTGTAGTACATTTGTCATAAATAACTATTATTGCTTTAAGTAATTCCTAATTTAGTTTTTTGCAAATGATTACTGATCAACTTACAATTTAAGTGTGCCCCTAAAATCAGATTTATGTACTATAAAACATGCATGATGTGAAAATTAACCAGAAAAGCTCTTTAACTCAGCTAGTCAGGTATCTTCTTACACTGCAAGTTGATTCATGCAAATTTTATTCTACAATCTTATACTTGTTTTATCTAAGTTAAATATGTACATAGTGTAAAGATTCAGGTCTATAAGGCATGTTACAAAAATAAAAGTTCCTATCTCCCAGAGACAACCAGTTTCAAGTTTTAAAAATTTTCATTGCTTTTGTTGTTTGTTGTGTTCTGTGCTGTATTTATTTGGGAGAGTATGGTCTAGTATTTATCTCCGTATCTTTAAATAGCATGTTTGTTTTTCAATTTTTGGGACTAAAAAAAAGATTAAGACACAGATGTTTCACTTACTCCTTTCTCCGGCAACATAGAGGACAGTTTTTGCTAGCTCAATATTTAATGCTGAAATCTTAATTATATAAATATTCTTACTGCTGAGTCTTATATGACATGTTTCTTCTTGCAAACTACCTCCAACCACAATTAATAATTATTTTGTTTTCACTGTTTATCAGGAGCATATTCCAAATATCCCCCGGTTGAGTAAATCTCTTTATATATTCAACACCTTAGCTAGTCTTTTTTTTTTATTATTCAGCTTTAATTGAGTTTATTGGTACATTTTAGGGATACAGTACAGATACATTCATTGTTGGGATCTTGTACCTCTACATGACAAGTCTTGACTCTCATTTTTTCCCCTTACCTCTGCCCTCCCTTCACCCCCTCCTCCCCTCCCCATCTAGTTAGTCTTAGTTGTAGGTCTCCCCTCTTTTGAAACCTCCTGACTTGCTCTCCTGTGGGATGACTACTCTCTAGGATTGCTATGCAGCTCCTGCATAGAGAACTCCCTTTGCATTTATCCTAAGAACTTCTTTCACTTCTTCCCCTTTCCAGAATTCCGATGTATTTTCCTTTTGGTCTGCTTCCTTGTCTAGGAGAATATAGCCTCAGTAACCTGGGGAGGGGAACAGTGGTAGCTGGATATGCCTAAAACTTTCTCTCTATATACTAATGTTCAATTAATGGGTTGTCTGACTTTAGAAATTGAGTTTAGGATTCATATTTCTTCAGATTTCTAAAAGCATTGCTACATTATCTTCTAGCTTCCAGTGTTGCTATTAAAATTTTCATGTGTTACTAATTCTTAATTCCTATTTGTTTTTCAGAAGCTTAATTGATCTTTTTTGTTCTCATAGTGTTTTGAAATTTCAGAATACTGTGCCTTGGTATGTATCTCTTTGCAACCATTGTGTTGAACTCTTTCAGTGTAGAAAATCACGTCTTTTAGTGCTGGGAAATTTTCTCAAATTATTTCTGCAACGAATTTCTTCCCATCCCTTGTCTCTATTTTCTAACACTTTATTTATTATACTGGACTTTATTCACTGATTTTGTCATTTTTGCTCCACTAACACTTTTTACCTGTCATTTTGTTCTACACTTTAGGGGGATTTTATTTACCTTTCAACCTTTCTGTAATTTTTCATTTCTACTTTCACTGTTAATTTTATTTTGTTATCTAAATTTTCACCACATCCTTTTCCTTTTCCATAAATACAGAAAGTTTACTTCTCTGGGGTATTAATAGTAGTTTCTTGACATTTTCATCTCTCCTTAGCATTTGTTTCTCCCTCACTGAATTTATTTGTTGGCTTTGGCTGTTTTTCAGCTTTATCTGGTTTTCATATTGGATGTCTTCCCCAAATTTAGGTTTGCCAGTGTTGTTTGCTTATATTTAAGACTGCAGCACTAAAGACCATGGCATGCTCTATGCTCATGGAATTCTATACTGTGGAATGATCCCACTGGGTTATTTTGTTGAAGGAATCTCTTTCAGTATCTTTAGGTCTTTTAAGTAGGTCATACCCCTGAAAGAAAAATCTGCTTGAAGAATATAAATCTGGCCAAGCGAATTTTAGAAGCTATATGAGGAAGGAAAGCCGAGGGTTTGGTAATTTAGCATGTCAACTTTGTCTCAATATCTTTGTTTTTAGTACAGTACTCTCCCTCAACTCTGGCTAGCAGCTCTAAGCCAGAGATTCCTTTTTCAGATGAGATCAGGCCCATTCCAGGTGGTATAGCAGTACCTGGTTCCTTTTTTAAACCAAGAAACTACTCTTCCAGAGGCAGATAGTTACCTAGTATGCTTAGGGGGCAAAAGATCTGAGGAATCTATAGTATCTTAAAAACATTTAGGTTTAAAACATTCTTGTTATTGATCAAATTTCACCCTTATTTCCAGAGGATTCCAGTGTCACCATGCACCGAGTCTTGGAAACTTATTTCTTAGCAGTCTTCAGCTAACTTAGTCACATTTTTGGACTTTAGGGTTCAAACTTGTCTATTCGTTTCTGTTTTATTGTTATTCATTTCTTTATACATTTTTGTCTCTTTGAAATCACTTATATTTAATTTAAAAATTAGTTCTACCACTGCTGAGTTGTTTGACCTTGAGAAAATTAACCTCTTTATGTCTATTTCTATATCTGTAAATGCCAACAATAATTGTTCCAACCTCATAGGGTGAATTCATTTATGTAGAGCTCTTGGAAGAATGCTTGGATTATGAAAATTTTTGTGTTAAGCCTCTGACATTATTTTGGGAGGAAGTGGGGATAAATGTTCATTTAATCCTGTATGTCTACCAGAAATTATTCTCCTAGGCTAGAATATCTTAATCGCCTGACTTACCCACATAACTTCAGGAACATGTCTATCATATTCAGTATTTCTATTTTACTTCATGAAAGAATATTCCCCAAAGTAGAACAAATAGATGATCAATTTTTGGAGGAATATAAAGATTCTCTAATGGTTTTAAATGAGTTTAATCATCCAGAACCATTTATTCAGTGAATAAACATTTCCCAAGAATCTATTATATTGAAGCACTGTGTTAAATACTATGAATACCCTTTAAGGATTTTACAATTGAGCAGGAATAGAAAAAGTAAGTAAACATGTGATTGCAACATGGTGTGATATGATAGGGCAGAAAGGAAAAATGCCAATTCCCAAAAAGTTTTTTTGATATAAGCAACCTCAATTAAGCAGCAGTTAACCTAGTATGGTAGAGGTGGAGTGTAGCAATGGGATTTTGGAAAATGTATGTGTTAAGGCATATACACAACAGAGAGCATGAGTGGATATGCAAATAGTTCATTATGGCTAGAGAACAGAACATTCAGGGAGAAAATAATGAGACCAGAAAAGTCAGCAGAGGTCTGATCTCAGGAGGTTGCTTAGTCCATTCTAGGAAATTTGCACTCTAGCTGAAGATAGCAGTAAGCCAAGTGAAGGTTTTAACAGATTTGCATTTTAGAAAGAGAATCTTCACTAGTGTTGAGATTCATTTTAAGGGAAGATGAATCAAGCAAAACTAATCAATTCTCTTTAGACTAAATCCCTCAGAGCCTTTGTTAATATGCACTGTGAGTCTGTGAGAGAAATACATAACATACAGAATGACCCAAGCTTATTTCACCATAAGAACATGGACTCTGTTTTATAGTATATCATCTATTAAATCTGTTGTAGCCAGGCATGATGGCACATGCCTGTTATCCCAGCACTTGAGAGGCTGAGGCAGGAGGATCACTGTGAGTTCAAGGCCAGACTTAGCTACACAGCAAGACATTGTCACACACACACACACACACACACACACACACACACACACACACACATACACACACACACACACGAGACAGCAGGATTTTCAGATCAAAGTCTGGGAAATGCTACTCTAGGGAAAATACGTGGGAAAACCCACAACAGGAACTCACTATTGGGTGTCTAACTAATAGTCACTCTCCTCATCTTTTGGTGGCATAACCTGATCCCAACTGATGTGCTATCCTCCCTACCTTCAGCAGTAAATTCTGACTGGTCCAAATTGTCTTGTCAGTCCATTCTCCTTGGCTGTGGCCAACTAAAGGAAAGGGGAGATGTTCCAGAGGCAGCTGGGGAAATGTTTAAACAGAGATACAGGAGATGTGGCCATCTTTGAAAGTAGTGACCACGAGTAGTGATAAAGTGAAAATAGCAGAAAGATGGAAAGGATCTGTCTTTGCTGAAGTCCTTCAATCTCTAAGATAACTTTAGGGCTGCTCTTCCTTAGACTTTTATTGTCTTAAGTTATAATAAGTTGGTATTTTGTTTTCTGCAGCTGAAGGTCTCAAAACTATGCAAGAGTTATTCTAAGAAGAATAACTATATATTCAATGTAGTTTTCGTGGTTAAATAGGATTTAGAGGGAAAGAACAGGTGAACTGATTTCAGTTAATCTATGACAAGGAGCTATTTAAAGTAGAATGAGTTTACGAGATCCCAATGATGAATGTAAATGTACTGTATACTTAAAAAGTACCAATAAACTCACTATAAAAGATAAAAAAATAGAATGGGTTGATGGGTGAAACAGGGAATTCCCCAACATAGACTATTATTACTATATGAATCCATTTCAATCAAAGAACTCTTAACTCACAGATTCAAACTTCTAATTCAAAGTTTGGAATGAACCTTAAGGGCTCACTTAATAAGGACTCATAGATAAAGACACTAAATTTTGTAGAGCATAATTATGTGATTAAAGGAAGAGAAGTAAATTTAGAAGGGTTAGACAAAATGATTAGATTGTTAGTGTCAGGGATAAGGATTCAGGTCTGCTAACTCTCAGATCAATGTTCAAACCTATTTCATCTATAGAGTTCACATTGCAAACATTTCTTAACAGAGACATCATAATTAGTTGGAAAAATACACCCTAGCAGAAGCATGAATTAGTTCTACCATTTATTTTGTAACAGTGGCATGTAAACATTTTAATGATTCCATACATACCTCTCATTTTCTTCAACTCCATTGAAATTGTTTTAACGTTTTTAATTATGGCTTCCATTTTTTGCTTATGGTCAGTAACATTATTCTTAAACATCTGATTTTAAAAGAATAATACAATAATCAGAAACATGTATACTTTAAAAGTAATATTCCATATTTCTAAAATAAAAATGTTATTACAGAACTGAAATAACTGAAATTGTCTGTACAAATGGTTAGATTTCTATTCTAATATAGGAAAGAATATATGTTATATTTTCCACCTGAAAATGACTTGAACTGGAATTCTTACAATGAGGTTTCTGTAATTAAACCAGATCCACAAGATAGGTCCCTTACAATGGAAGTGAAGATGCCATCTTTTCAGAAAGTATCCATACTGAAAACTACAATTTAGAAATTGTGTAAGATCTTCTCTACAGTAGTTTTATGTAGTGTTAATGTCTCTAAATTATTCTTGAAAGACAGGACCCATTTACAATGTCTTCACAGAATAAAATCTGAAATAAGATTTAATTATTTGTTGACTAATCCTTGGTAGGCAATATGGCCACTTTAGTTTTGGCAACATTTTTAGTTTTAATAACTAAAACATATATAAAGTGACATGCTACTATGTGATATATACATAGTAACGTACATGTTTTTTACCAATTGTGTATAGAAAGGTGGTGGTTCACTAGAAACCAGTCTTAATCCATTCAAACCTCTTAAAATGATTTGAAAAAATAAACTACAATTAGCACATGATAGCTCCAGCAGTGTGAAATCTGGGCAGTTATGGATCAGGCTGTTTGTCTAAAATAATAGAAACCAACTAACCTTTAAATCAATGTTTGTCCCTGCCTTTTCCCAAGCAAGAGGAATTTATCCTATTTTACTCCAGAGCCACTGTGGGGAAAAAAAAACAAAAAAACAAAAAAACACGTAATTTTGTTTTTGAGACATTAATGAGTAAAATATGCTTTGCATTCACCTCTAAGACCCCTATGCTTTAAAAAGTGTTAAAAATCTTATTTGGGGGGTCGGGGGATTTAGTTCAGTGGTTCCGCCACCTGCCTCCCAAAAATGCAAAGTCCCGAGTTCAATCTCCGATACCAAAATAACAACAATAAAAAAGAAAGAAATAAAAAAGAAAAATCTTATTTGGGAATGCCAAACCAAAAGATTCAGGTTTGAGGAAAAAGTGAGCAGGATTTTTAAAAAGTACTGTAGTGAATGGAGTGGGGTTATGGAATTAAAGAATTTTAAAGTGAGAAATAAAGGTAAAAAGTAAAAATAAAAAACAAGAGTAAGACTAAATGGCTAGAGAAATGCCCATACAAGTTGATTTTCCTCACAGGGTAAGAATTTGAGGGAAGGAATTTAGAGAGCTCGGGACTGGTGATAGAGTTGGGTCTAACCTTTTCTAGAGTTTCCACATCGTTATTCCAAAATTAGAGGCCAATTAATGGGTACTTAACTGAGAAAAGTGGGGACGACAAGAAGACCCCCCCTCAAGCCACTAAAGCATTAATCCATGGCCAGAGGACACAGCTCAAACTTTCCTCACCCCCCCCCCAAAAGCGTTTACTACCTCTACAGTTTTCATCCCGGACGAGTTAAAGTAGCCTGGAAGTGTCTGCAGTCCTCACTACACCAAACTGGATAGGGACATCATTAAACAGGCTCAGAGTGACCCCGGACTACAGAAAAACCCAGTCTCTGCTCTGCCCACACAGCCAACTGCCCTTCTACCCAACTGATGCCTGGGAGGCGCAGCGGGGCCCTCAAAGGTTAGGCCCCTAAAGGCGTAGTGCCTTAAGATGCAGCCTCAGGCAGCTTGGAAATTTCAGCAGTCCTCCCTCTCCCAAACAGGACGAAGATACACACAGAGAAGCACCCCGCCTGCCCACAAGCCTGACCTGACAGGAACCACCGCTTTAAGAGTTACTGAAGTTCTGGCCACTAGGTGGGGCAAGCAGGAGGTGAAAGAGAGGCCAGGCTTTATGATTGGCCAGCTCCTCCATTTGCTGTCTCCCGATTGGCCAGCTCCTCCGCCTGCCGCATCCTGGGATTGCAGCGGCAGACAAGAATTACCCTTCTACCCCAGGCACACAGAGGGTTCCTTGTGCTGTGGATTGGGCAGAGCAGGAGCTGATATTTTCAGGGTTAAAGCCAGGGTGTAGGCTGAAATGGCTTGGTTTTGACTCCTACGTCATCACTTGTTTGGCTGCGTAGATGCAGGTAAGTGACACGACCATTCAGAATATAAACATTCTCACCTGTCATATGGAATGGTAATAACTGTCTTCAGGTGTTATTTTGAGGGTTAAGTGAGATAATTTATCAATTCCTTTTGGCAGATAAGTGCCCCATAAATGTTAGCTGTTATCATTTCTGTACATGTTTACAGATGAGTCATTAGCAGAAATGAGCTGAGACACTGTGGTTTCGTGCCAAGTGGAGAAATTGGGATTCAAGCCATCTTTGCTTGAGTCTATGAGGAATCTTTGCTTCTACAACCTTTGGGCCTGATCCAGGGACTTCCTTGGTGCCCTGGTTATTGCCCTAGACTTGGTGAAAAGTTCTGCTACTGCACATCAGATATGGAAGTCTTTGCCATCCCTGTGCCTCCCCTAATTTTAACATTCCAGCCTCTAGAATGAATGTTTTCCTGCAGCTCACATCACACCCTATTGGTTATTTTATATGCACTTTATTTTCAGGTTAGCAGCGTAGAAATTGTCTGACATCAATTAGATCCGAGTGAAAGCTAGCTATGGGATATAGGAAGAGTACCTTCCTTTTCCTGAACCTCGGTTTGCTCACCAGTTTCCTTATGAGATGGGCTAAATTGCTTTCTCCTAAATTTCACTTATGGATGGACCATGGGAATGATTGCTCGCTTTATCTTTCACTGCCTATATTATTACCTTCATGTTTTAAATTTACTCTCTTTTAAAATTTAAATTTTACTAAAAATCAGTGTAAATGGACTGTAGAAAACAACATTGAAAATTAGACAATATTTTAAATCATTAGATGAGCTTGCCTCCTGATGCAATGGTTATGCAGCCCGATCTTTGTTAAAATGGGTTCTTCCTGAGGAATATTAAAGGCAGCTGAGCACAAATTCAGACTTTCTTTTGGACATAATCAGAAGGACTGAAAGATTTGGAAGAATAACTCACTTAGTACATGTTGTTTAAGGTCTATATACCACATAAAATAGTTCTCAATCACTAGTAGAACATGTCCCCTGGCTTATGGAATCTAGGATTAGATGCTTTCCAATAATCTTTCCCATTGTAAAACTCCTTTAATTCTCAATGTACTATACATGCCTTTAAAAATACTTACACACATGCTTCCTGAATTAACCCAACCCCAAACTACAGTTTCATACTAATCTCTATTCCAATGCTTCCTTCACTTAATATTTTAAAGTCAGACATTTGCTAGTGTCTATTTATGTATGTTGATCATTTTTTATTTGATTCTGTGTGTGATGAGTAAAGGTAGAAAGAAGCACAGAAGAACTGACAACATTCTTTGAGCATTCATTGTGTATCATTCATTATGTTAGGAGCTTTAATCTTCTGGTAATTGCAATGTAGCTATCATTCAAGTTATATGGAAAAAGAAGCTCAGTCTCAGAGAGTTTAGTTTCTGCTCAGAGATACAAGACCGGACGTACATCCTGTCTGTGTGATTCTGGATCCTTCTGTTGTTTCCTCTGTACCATCTTGTCTCCTAGACTGGAGCAATCCATGGGCTGAATTGTGTTCTTGTCAAATTCATATGTTGAAATCCTAACCCCTGATACCTCAGAACATAATTGGAAAAAAATGAGAACCAAGACCTGTCATGTAAAGGTACAAGATCCCAATAATGAATGTAACTGTTCTGTATACCTAAAATGTACCAATAAACTCAATGAGAGGGAAAAAAAAGAACATAATTGGAGACAAGGCCTTTATGGAAGTGGTTATATTAAAATAGGAGTGATAGAGTTGAACCTGACCCAGTCTAACTTGTACCCCCATACAAAGAGGAAATTAGATATGCAGTTAGACACCAAGGGTGTGCAGAGAAATATCAAGGATTTATGTACTGAGAGTAAAGACCTTGTGAGGACACAACAAAAAGGTGGACCACCTGCAATCCAAGGAGAGAAGCCTTAGAATAAGCCATTCCTGCTGACACCTTGATCATGGATTTCCAGCCTCCAGAACTAAGAAAACTACTTCTGTTTAAGCAGCTTAGTCTGTGGTGTTTTGTTCTGGTAGCCTAGCAAACTAATATACTCTCTCTTAAAATAGTAAATGAATGAATAATGTCTTCTAAACATTTTGGATTTCATAGATCATTAAACTTAAACATGCATTAACAATGTTCACACTAGTATAGAAATGTGAGACAACCAATGTGGGTGAGCAATATTTGTTTTCTGAATTAAGGACATAAACAGTACAGGACAAAACAAAAAGAGCTGGTGTCACTATTTTATAAGAGCAAGGATAATTTAATATCACAACAATGGGAAGAAAATAAAAGGAAGAATATCATTTCAGAATAAGACTACCTTAACACAAAAACGTACTAGATATGCCGTTATTTCCCCCTTCCTTTATTTTGATGTAGACCCTTATGGTTCCACATTTTGAAAATCCCTGTACATCAAAGCAGGAAAAAACAAAGATGTGTAGGAGAAATACATTTTTTTAAAGTAGGTGAGCAGAGATGGCATTAAAATGGAGAGAATCAAGTGAGAGTGGGGCTGGGGCTGGGGCTGATTAGGATTTAGTGTCCCAAGCACTAAATTAAATTCAGAGTCTATCAGGTATTTTCAGAAAATGTCATTACCTAACTACCTGTGAGTAGGATCCTCCTTACCGGACTTTTGGTAGAATCTAAAGGGCTTCTCCCATCCAAGAGTGTTTATTACTTCTTATAAATAGATGTAGACTATTATCATGTGGAACAGAACATCATTAGGTCATTCATTTTTCCACAAAGAAAAATCAATTGTTGTAAGAGGAAAAAGAACATTAAAAAAAACTCAACTCAGAGAATAGCTCTACTATTGTATTTACCACCATAAATTTGTCATGGAGCAATGATGACTATTTACTGTAGTGTTTACCTTCCCTATACATTCTGACTTTTAATTTTTTTTCTTAATAAAACTAAAAGCATTATCTGGTACTTACAGTTTGATACTGTTATAGTATCTATCTTTAAAGACTGTTAAAGAATCTATCTTTCTTAATAAGTTTGCAAATACTATACGATAGTTACCAGAACCCAACACAGGCTGCAGTTGATCCTGATGTTAATCAAATAAAGGAGATTAAAAAGCTGGTAAATTCCCCCATAAAGAGAAAAGCTGTTGTAGAACAATGTGATTAAGCATTTTATGGAGCCAAGTGTGAGTGCCTCAATTAGTTTTATTACTAATTCTTGACATAAAGTCTTGGTTTCCAGGAAAACAAATTGAGTAAATTATTCCACTTCTTCCCCTAGATCTCAGAGCTCCCATTTCCCTCCTCTGCCTGATCATTATCAATTAAAAGTGCTGGCCTCTGTGTCTAAGGACTGCTGCCTGCTAGAGCATCGACTCCCTTCTGAATATGGCTTTATACAATCACTGTGTGCACACATTTGGTAGGTAGTAATCTGAGCACATTCTTGGACCATTACCTGAGAAGCATGACCAGTCTTGGAAAGATCAAGAAAATTCCTGTACATCCAAATAGCTAGTGCTTTCCCTGTGGTCAGTTATGAAAAGGAAGCAAAAAGCAATCAGAAAACTTTAGCCACTGTGATATAAAATGAAAGTTGTATTCTTTACCCATGGTCTTGTCAAGTAGCTGATGTTACATCACACAGAATCATTTTCTTTTTCTCCAGGAGAAACATTTCTGAAACACAGAAATAGGTTAGTAATGAAAGTCCATATTGTTTCTAGGTTAGCTTAAGTGTTTTCACTTCTAATTAAGAAATTACAGTTCTGTGACAACATTTCTCTTGAAATAGGACATTACCCAAATAGTGTCACCAGATAAAATGTGGAACACAATTAAATTAAATTTTCAAAGAAACAACAGTTTTTTAAGGATAAGTTTTTCCTGAATGGATACACATACTTAAATTAAAAATGTATTATTGTTTACCTGAGATTAAAATTTAACTCCAAATTCTGTAATTTTATTTGCTAAATCTGGCAAATCTCTCCCCCAGATACCTCAACCATGGAACAAGAAAAGCAAGCAGTGTGAAACCTTGTAGATTTAGTAGGGATGAAAGCCAAGAGAATGCTGAAGTTTTCTAATGCGATGTTCAAAATATTAACATGGATAACACTTACTGTGCCAGAAAATTGAGCATCCTTCAGCATCCCTGTGATGCAAGCAGGAAGCTAGGTGTTTGAGGAATCAGATAGAAACTGACAATATTCAGCAAGGTATTTTGTTTTGATAGTTGCTCGCCCTGTCTTTTTGTCTGAAAATTCTTTGTGCCTGGCTTTTTAGTAGATGCCTTCATCGAACAGAGCATACTCATGACACAAGTTGTGTTATTTCCAGAGATCCACCAATCAGAGAATACCTGTCTCTGTCCCCAAATAAAATATGTTTGTAATTTTATTATGTCAGCCATTCATCCTCCAACAATACTTCCTCTGTTTTATTAAAGGCATAGATCCCGATTGGATGTTGTTTCCCCTGGGTATTGCCCACCCCCTTCCCTCAGCCTCACTGGCTGGTCTTGCAATAAAGAATGAGCGTTTTTACAAAAAGACGTAATAAGTTCATGAAATCAGTTTCACCAGAATATAAGTATGTGTTTATCTTTTGTTGTAAGAAAGGGAACATATATATGTGTAAAAGCAAGTTTGGAAGAATAGTCACCAAAATGCTAACAATACTTATTCAAATGACTGTAAGATTTAAGGATGATTTTACTTCTTTGTGTTTAGTATTTAGCCAGCCTATACATCCTGCTCTCTATTTTAAACTGTTCAATAATTTCTCAATAGGATACATCAATCACTTTAAGGAGAGCTTCTGAAACTTTACACTGCAGATTATTCAGAGTTTATGCAAATCTGGGAACACACCACAAAGACTCTAGCTTAATAAATCTAAGGTGGGGCTCCCCAAATCTGCATCTTTAATCTCCCCTTCCATTTTAACCCATGTGGTCTGTGTGCCATGTTAGAGGAAAGCATCAAGCGCATGACCACAGTTGAAACTTATTTTAATATTTGATGCCAGGATTCAATAATTTTTTTCCCTGAAATATATAAACAACTTTAGTCCTAAATAAGATCTCCTTAATAAGAATGGAGAATGTTTTTGTTATGTAAGGTCTCTCCTGGCCCAGCAAGAAACAGACCCACACTATTTCCTTCATTCTCTGAGATGGAAAGAAAGAGATGGATATGCCAGTTTCAAGCTCATTGTGATTTAGGTTTTATTTCTTTCGTTTCCTAGTGTGTTTTTTTTTTTTGTGGGTGTCCATGTGTGTGGGGAGGGTCCTGTAGTTTTATTTGCCATCATAATGGAAAGTCTAGAGCTAAGATCTGAGATGTTATGTGATTTTTAAAATACATTTTTATATGTATGTTTTTGTACTCAAAACTTCTTTTTCTACCTCTGCTGCCATGCCCTTGCTGTAGGAAATCACCCACTCCTGTCCATGCTGCTTCCAAGAGTTGCTTACTGGCTTCTCACTGTTATTCTTGTCCTCTACAATTCGCTCTATGCACTACAGCAGGCATAAGCTTTTGAAAGTGTAAATTGGATCATGTACCTACCTGAAAACGCTCCAGTGGTTTCCTCGATTACTTGGAACAAACTACACTTCTGATCCTGTCCATAGAGTCGCAGTCTCCCTTTCCACCCCTTTTCTTTTGGCTCCAATACATGATGTTGTAGTCGGGGTTTTGGCAAAGGAATACATTTAATACAGGACACGTGATTTGTAGGATTCTTTGATGATATTTACCCAAAAAGTCAAATACAGAGGAATGCAAGAGATTAGCCACATACTAGAGGCCCAAAGAATATAGCTTGGATCCCACAGCAGTGTCCCACACAAGTCCAGCTGAAGGCCTAGAGTCCAAGGCAATGTCCCCCAGGAGTCCGGCCAGTGGCCTGTCACCCACGATAATAATTTAAAGCTTGTCTGTATCAAGGATCTGCACCTGAAAGGCCCAGAGGTCAGTCATGGAGGCTAGAAAACCTTCTCTGGTGGGATGAAGGATTTTTGCCACTAGGCTGAAGAATCTTCATTGGAGCCAGGAAGCGATGCTCACAGTGAAGATCAGAGGTCCTCTGAGAGAAGAGCAGCCATTCCCAGTGACAGTGAGGCCCCAAGCTCCTCCTCCAGGGACAATAGCCAAATTCACGTCAGGAAAACCATCTGCAGCAAGCTTCTAGAAAATTAGCAACTCCAATCCTCCCTTCTAGTTCTCTGTTTGGATATTGGCAACAATCCTCGGGTGGATCTTCCATGCCTGGACCACGCTGACTCAGTTCAGCTGGGCATTACAAGTTGACCATTAGTTAATGCACTACACATATCAACCAGTTGTTTTCTCTGAGCCATTCAGATATGCTCCTTTTAAATGTTTTATGCTTTAGGGAGGCTATCCTCAATCACTCCATTGTCCATCCGAGTTCCTTTGTTGTTTCCATGTGATACTTGATATCATTTATGTGTTTTATGTTTCTGTTTTTTATTTTTTGTCTTTCTTCTTTTGCTGTAATATATCTCTATTAAGGAAGAGAGCTGGTTGTCTTGATCATCATCACTACCCTGTGCCTAGCACAGTTCCTGGCACATAGTAAAACTTGTATTTCTTTGTTCAGTAGCTGAATAACTAAATGGGCCCCTGCTCTGTGGTATCCCAGACAGTCAGAGAATCCAAGATCCTCTGGACCCTTCAGGACTCAGCAGAGCTCTGGCAGCAGAAGCTACAATTTCATGACTTCTGAGCCCTTGGTAACTGGAAGTCGATGAGTTGTAGCAATCTAAACACAATCTAAGCTAATGGCAAGCCCCTTCATTCTGTTTGCTTTCTGGTCCTAGAATACAGACTGAAGATCCAGAAGAACAATAAAAAGCAGAATTGTAGCTTTTCTGAAAGACCACACACACCAGGCCTGACAGCCTCGGGTAGAACTATGGCCTCTGATAAAAGAGCTATCTTGGCTATGGATCATCATTTGAATAAAAATCAAATGACTTAGGATCTGTCCAAAATGAAGGATGTTTTAATATTTTGTGTGTAAAAACACTGATATTTTGCTTCTTTTTTATTAAACAGATTTTATTATTTTTCAGAATCTTGTCAGTGTAATCATTTTATGGGTGTATGAAATATTTAGCCCTGCCGCTGCAGGAGTTCTTTCCCAGCAATTACCTTGTGGCACTGTCGCTGTAATTAGGTTTCTGCTGAGGATTTTTCCCTGGGTCTGGGTAATAAATGAAATATGACTAGAATTTAAATTTGTCAATTACAAGCAAGCATAGTGCATAAACACACAACAGTCATGAATTCCAAGCCACAGGCTGTTGCTGGGGGGCAGATGCTCTAAAAATTAAAATGGAAATAAAACTACTGACTGGCAAGCAAAAAGTAGCCCCAAAGAAAGCAAATCTCCCTTAACGCTCACACATGATTCTACCAAACAGTATGAGCTCTTGATTACAAATTCTTTAGCATGAAACTGAAAACTCCAGGAGTAAGCAGTGGGTTTGCATTAAAGTAATCTGCACAGGGCTCTGCTTTCCTGCCCTGTGAGCTGTTTTTGAGGCCAGATCAAATGGGTTTGGGATGTAGGAGGCCAGAGTGCTGCTGTATTATGCATCCTAATGATGGTATTCACTCTGAGCTTTTCAAGGATTGACAAATTTAGGGTCAAGATCTGGCTGTCTCCTAGCAGCAGCTGTTTTCACTGACTTGACTTCAATAATTGCTCCTGTGGGGCCCTCTGTTGACCATCGCTTACTGAGGGAAAAGCAGGAGTCTGCACTGTTGGAGACTCTGACAGACCATCTGTTTCATTAAAGCAACACCAAACAAAAGCAAAAATTTTAAATTTACAACTGTCAGGGGCCCTGAGCAATGAAAAAGGGGACTCCTGTGTTTTGTAAACTTACCAAGAACCATGCATGTAGTATTCAAATACAAAAGAATCTGTCTTGAATCTCTTCTGTGTCAGACACTGCGCTGAGTATTAAGCATACTGAGGTAAGTCAATTATCATGGAACCTGTGGTCTAGAGAAGGAAACAGGCCAGAATTCACAGATCTGTGACCATTACTGTACAGTCATACCTTGATACTCAACTGCTGAAACTCATCAGATTTGGTACTTGACATATTATGATGTGAAAATTTTGTCCTGGTACTCATTTTTTTGATACTCAATGTGCAAGCTAGAACTTGGTGTCAGTTGCCTTGTGACTTGCTGAGACAACTTGTTTGGTACTCATTTCTTTGGTACTCATAAGGACTCCTGAGCCAGTTAGCAGGTACTGAGGTACTATAATAGCTAAATTAGGCAGAAATATTATAAGCAATCATATAAGGCTGGGCCCCCAAGAGAATCATTACAAAAAATGAAAACACATTACAACTGTGGCTGGAAACTCATCTGTTGGAGGCCAAGCTTCAGGATAATGATGAAATGACCAGGCCTTCATACTTCCTCAGAGATAAGTGATGAGGCCTGGCCTAATAAAGTCTAGATAGAGACCAGTACCCTAGTGGGTGACCAAGTCCTCTGGCTTTATCTCAGTATTACCTAAGCAGCTATACTTGGTTGATCTTATTGTTTGATCGTGATTTTTGTCCCTTGTTATACCCACCTCACGATTTTGTTCTATAAAACTTTCCCTGTGAAGTGGAGTCCCTAGGCAACCCATTTGGGGCCCCTCCTCCCTCTCAGGAGCTTAAATCTCTCCTTCTCAATAAATATTTCCTATTCTTAATCTCCATTGTTCCTTAGAATTCATTCTTCAGTTTGGGGGAATGTGAACTCAGCATATCTGACATCTAGCAGGTTGGGAATTATATTATTTCCCTTATATCATTTAGAGGTCCTATATCAGTACCACTGCTGACTATAAGCATTCCACTGCTGACTAAAACATCATTATGAAGCATGTGCTCATGTAGATTATGTGACAGACGCTGTCATGGAAGGAGGCATGACCTGAAGGGATGCAACATGGACAGGGCAGCTTTCAGGAAAGGCTTTCCTGAGGAAGAGACATTCAGACTGAAGTGAGAAGAAGATAAGAACATTCCAGGCAGAGGGAACAGCTATTCAAGGGCACTGCACCAGGAAGCTGCCTGCTAGATGAATAAGCCTGAAAGAATATCAGCAAGGCTGGAACACAGGGAGTGAGTGAGCTTAGAGGTAGATGAGACTAGAGAGGGCTGGGGGCCAGGCCACAACAGGCTGAGTAAGCTGTGTCAGGGTTTATAGTTTCTCTACTGACACCTGATAAAAACCACTAAGGAGTCTTACATAGGGATAGGATGGTGGTGGTCGATATGATCATGTTTATGGTTTAAAAGATGACCTTGGCTTCAGGAAAAGAAGGAACAAAGACAAGAGGTCCCGTTTGGAGTATATTGCAATAATCCTTGCAGAAAACCAGAATGCCTTGTTTAAAGTGGTGGCAGAGGAGATGGAAACGAGACTAAAGCAATATATAGGAGGGAGAATCCGCATAGACATGGGTGGAAGGATGGATGTTATTAGAGCCTTTTAAAGTATTTTATACTCATTTTATACTTGAGGGAATTGAGGCTCGGGGGGTTCAAGATCATTCAGCAGGGCAGTAAGTGAGTGGTGTGCCTTCTCCATATTGTGTCTGAGGCTGCCTAGGGCTCTGCTTAGGAATTCATCTCCCCTACAACCTCTCAGTGTATCCCCTCCATTCTTGAGACAACCCCAATGCATTTGCTGAGTTTGGTTTCTTTTTGGGGGTACTGGGATTGAACTCAGGTCCTTGCATTTGCGAGGCAGGTGCCGGAACCACTGAGCTAAATCCCCAGCCTCTCTCCAACTAGACTGAGATTTGCCATGGAGTCTTCTTTGCCTGTTATGCCAGGATAGCCACTGTTCATCCTCAGGGAATATGTTCTAAGACACCCAGGGGATGCCTGAAACCTTGGCTGGTATCACACCCTATAAATGAATAAGTTGGACACAGTAGGAGGTTAACAACCATGACAAGATAGAACAACTACAATATATAGCAATAAAATTTTTCAGAAACCTGTGAATTTGTTTTTGCTTTTGTTTTTTGGTACTAGGGATTGAACTCAGGTTCTCGTGCTTGCGAGACAGATGGCAGAACCCCTGAGCTAAATCCCCAACTGACCTGTGAATTATTTATTTCTGGAATTTTCCTCTTACTATTTTATGACCCTGGTTGACCACAGGTAACCAAAACCATAGGAAGGGAAATAACAGATAAGCAAAGACTGTTGTACTTAGTTCATTCTTGGCTCAGAATGGGCCAGAGAGTTTTTGTTGAGTGAGTAAGAAATTTTTACCAGTCTCCTGAAGAGGGGAGCTGATTTGAAGGGTACAGTACATTTAACATGACATTCTTGTGGTTCTAATTCTTGCATCAGGGACACAGTTTTGAAATTTGGGCTGGAATGCTCAGAAACGATTTTCAAGAAGGGACTAAAAGTGCCTAGCAGCCTAGTATATGCTACAATGTATAAGCTGTACATCCTAGAAATACATATCGCAAGTCTTCAGTGTCTCATAGATGAAATGAGGATAATTTAAATATATACTCAGTAGGGTTGTTGTGAGGATTGCATTTGATCATCTGTGCAAAGGGCAATGGCACATTTATAGATGAATTTACTGTTCTTCAGAAAAGGATAAGAAGTTGCGTGGCTGGCTCAGAAAGTGGTTGGGACTGGAAATCTCTCTCTACTTAGCCTTAAAATTCCTGTTACTTCCCAATTCTTTTTCTTGTGGTTTATTCTGGAATGACAAAAGAGGAAATTGGCTTTCTGGGGCTCCCTGAGTACTGGGAGTGATGTGCTGTAGGTCACTATGGCCAGGCCTAACTTACCCCCTCCCACAGATCAGGCAGCCCCCCCCCCACCCCCAGGAGAACAGGCTATGAGAGGACATGGTGGAGCAAGGCCTGGCTGAAAAGAGAAGTCTTCCTGCCTACTGGCCAGAGAAACCACAAGCATTATCTCCTGAAGACCCTAGCTGCTCTTCCTGTTCCAATCAGCCATACCCTTTCACCTCTGCTACTATAAATGAATGTGTGGTCATTTGGTCTTTTCCTCTCATCAGGAGTCAAGGGCCCCACCTAGCCCCACCTATACCTTATTAAATCTCTTTGTCTGTCTTAATCTCTCACCATTGTTTTTCACTCTGAGAGCCCCGTGACACCTGACAACCTGAAAGATGTCCCCTAAGGCAGCTTTCAACAGATAGCTCTATTTTTATTATTATTAATTATTCTTTATGATTAATAGTGTGTGTCTGCAAGCCTCTGGACACAAAATAAATAATATCTGTTTTCTGTTTAATTCATGGTTCTGAAAAAATCAGAAATGGAGACAGATGGGAAAGCCTAAACAAGGTGTCCCAAAGCCTAATTCTTAGGCACAGGAGACTGAGGGCAGAATGCTACCCAGCCAAAACTGCAACTGGAGCAAGACAAGATTGTCCAGCTAGATCTGTGGAACCTGAAGACTCCTTGGGAAGCCACACTTCTTCCTGTCTAAACCTTTAAGGATCTTGGGCCTTAAATCCTATATGCAAGGAATCAAATCCTAGCTGTACTCTCTCTGAAAGCTTGAACAAATGGCTAAAGGTCACAAAATTGATTACTTGCAGAACTGGATTCAGATGCAAATCTCATCCTTTCCGTGGTTTTGAACCATTGCATTTAATGTTTATGAAGTATTATAGTTGTTTAAACATTTATTGCACTACTATGAATTCTTTTAAATAGATACCTAAACATATATTAACAAGTACATATGAAAGTTTTTCTTAGATTATTTTCCCCTTCTCTTTCATTTCCTACCCATGTTAGGAAAAAGGCAAAGAAACAGGTATGAGCTCACAGGACAGGTTTATTTCAGAACAAATCTGAGAGGAACTGCTCTGGCACTAAAGACCAGGCTGGCTAAGTCTTGCACAGGCTATAAGGTCTTTATAAGGTCATGATCATAAAGCGGTGAGGGGGGGCTGTGGAAGGAAAATGTCACAATGGGACTTTCAGGGGGAGAGTTCATTACAAGACAGTTGTGGTTCTCTGCCAGGGACAGGACTTGAGAATGTGTAACGAGTTGCATGTTGGTTGACAAGACAGAGCTGGGAATTATAGGGTATAGTTGTGCTTACTGGGGCCTTATCATCTCATGACTATTCCCCTGCAGCAGGTGTAAAAGCAAAGCAGGAGGAAGGGATTTAAAGTGGTTTCTGTGCAGAGCAAGGTGGTGATGGTCAGATTCCTTCAACCCGTAAGACAATTTTATTGATGATGGAAAAAAAATACTTTTTGTAGAAAAACATCTTAAGACCTTCATGAATCACCAAATTCACTATTTAGTTTGGAACTTAAATGTTCCCCAGAAGCCTGTGTGTCAAAGGCTTGGGAAGTGGTGAAACATTTAGAAAGTGGGGCCTAGTATAAAGAAATTAGCTCAATGGGGCTGTTCCTTGAGTGGGACATTGAGATTCTGCCACTTGTTTCTTGTCTCTGATTACCTAGCATGAGATGAGCAGCCCCCTCTGCCACCCCTCATCCCACAGTGTACTGTGCCACCACAGGCCCAAAGTGATATGGCCAAGTACCCATGAACTGAAACCTATGAAACTATAAGCCTAAATATACATGTTCTCCTTTTGAGTTTTCTCAGGTATTTTGTCATACAGAAAGATAATATATTCACAATATAAAAATAAACATCCACACATCCTGTGGGCTTTCTCTCAAATCTCATTTTCCTCCAAAGTCATGAGATTCCTGGGTAAACCCACATATCAGGTAACTTAATAACTAACATTTCTGCTGTTCACAAAGAAACATCATTTTGATCTCCTAAGGAGAATTATTCCATTCACTGCTGAGTCAAGAGATGCTAAAGTAGGGGAGTGGGCAGTGATAGGACTCCTTTTTTCTAGTTCAAGGACAGTAGGCTTTAAATTTTCCCCTCAAAAAGATGTCAATTGGCCATGTGTCTGTCATTAACCTTTGGGCCACTTAGTCAACAATAGCAAAAGCCGGAAGTTCATGGTTTATAAAACCCCTTGGGCCATTTCTCCACTGATACCTAATCCTCCTTTGGGCCATAGATACATTTTCCATTTTTCCAGGCTTCTGCCTTGTAGCTGATTTCTTGTTTTGTTTTGCTTTTGGTACCAGGGATCGAGCTCATGACCTTGCACTCGTGAGGCCGGCAATGGCACCACTGAGCTAAATCCCCAGCCCTGATTTATTTTTAATGTAGAATTTTCTAGTTAGAAAACAGAAATCTCACTGTGAAGAAATGATGTATGAAGGAATAAGTTTAAACTGATTTAAAAATTACGTAATGTATATATGTATTTTATAAATGACATTATACCCCATATCTATAATTTATATATATACTTTTCATATTTTTTGTACTAAAGTAAATTAATACATCTAAATATTTAGTTCCAATTCACAAATGTATTTTGTGTTGGAAAAATATGAAGGAATGATAAATAAAAATACAATGTTTTTCAGAAAAGAAATGGAAGCACTAGTTTAAATAAAAAGAAAAACAAATGGTGAACATCATGGAAGACTCACTATGGTGCCCAAAAGAGAAAAAAATGGGAAAAAAACCACCTGTAATCTCTCTACCTAGGAAACACAAATGCTAACATTTTAGTGCAAAGCCTTTCAGTCTTTTCTCCTCTATTATACACCTTTAAAAGAGGACCTTCAATGTCCTTATGCCTAAGAAAAGGGAAGAAAAACAATCCTTAGGTTATTCATTCCAGAGAGAACTCAAGTCATCCCTATTATGTAAACTCTTTCAAAGAAGCATTCTGTTCAAAAGTGTTGCTAAGCCATTTGTTGCTAAGCAATGTTTGGGCCTAGAGACAATAAAAAACCATCCTGACTCTACTTTGGAATAGAAGCCACCTTTATCTCCCTCAGAGCCCTTCATGGGGGCTCCTTTTGTCAAAACTGTTTATTTAAATTAGAAGCTCCCTTCTTAGTCACCTGAATTTCTCATGCTTCATACAAGGTCACCCCAGGAAGCTGGAAAAGCAGTTAGGGCAATAAATTAAGATCCAGAGGGCTGGGGTCAGAGCTTCTTTGGTTCTTTGGGAATCTGAGGTAACCAGTTCTTTTCTTCTGGTATTCTCTCTGCTATGCATGGGATACTGTGCATCTTGATAGCTTGTCACCTAGGGCAAGTCAAGTGTAGGTTAGGGGCTTATTGATACAATCTTGTTATAGTAAAAATTCTGGCAACACCATATTCAACCAACTCCAGGTAACTTTTTTGAACTAAAAATACTGAGAAAAAATTCCATAGAAAATTCTGGAAAGCTCATTATAAGGTAACTTTGTTGAACTAAGCTACTGAGAAAAATCTCACAGAACATTCTAGAAAGCTCTTTGTGATGTATATAGCTGCAGAAATTTATAGCTGAAGGAAGATGTTCTTACTGGCAACCCCTGAAACATTACTGGAAATCTCTAGAGTAGGCTCCAGTCTCCTACCCAGTATACAACACAGGCCTAAGGGGAAAAAAAAAGAACCAAGAGAGACAGAAAGCAGATGCCAGGACAACCATTGCTGGTACAACTGACAAAGGCCCTGGTCTTCTCAAACCACTCATTTCTATGGGTAATCAACTAGGGTAAAAGTGAGCTATGTGCAAGGGCAGTGCTACGTACAAAGATGTGCAGTCTGGGGTTTCTATGGAAATTAATGTAAGCAAGGCTCATAAAGGACCACGCAAAGCATTCACAAATTAGGAATATAATAGACAAAATATATATTTGTAATTAGGACATTGTTCTTCTAGTAAGAAGGTTTTAGTTGTGGGAATGTAAATTGGATGTGAATGACTCTGACCTCAGCAAGTCGGCTTCAGCCAGACTCATGTCTATAAACAAGCCAATTGTGGGATTAACTCTTTACAGCCTGCTTTGGGCATAAATCAATACTGCCCTCTCCTGCATGTTCTGAGTGCCCAATATATTTTATTTCACTTGATTCTGGCAAAAACACTAAGGGGGATGGCAGCATTGTTTGCCTTAATTTATAGAAGAGAAAGATAAAGTGACCCAAGGTTTTTGATCAGAAAGTAGTAGAGCTGGTTGTTTTTAAACCCATGCTATGGATCTCAGAGCCTGCTCTCTTGCTTCTGTGTTATATTGCCTTGAAGGACAGGAATAGATATTTGTTAGTTCCTATTCTGTGCAAAGAATGTCAAGGATTTTACATACTTTGTTTAAATGGTATGATTGGGCTGGCTAGATATTATTATCTCGTTGGCAAATTGAGAAGCTTGAAACCCAGAGAAGTCACATGTGCAAGGTCAGCCAGCTAGATGTATAAAAAATTTTTAGCTCAGAGCTGCCTGACTCTAAAGTCTGTGCCATTTCCTTTTACTTCTATTACCTGGTACCTAGAAAGCATTCAACTTAAGGCTCTCTTTTTATGGAAAATGAGGAAAGTGAGGCCTTTTAAGTGGCTCACCCCACATCATTTCTCAGGATGTATAGAATATATCCACCTGATAAGGAAGATGGAGCTCATTTGCTGTAAGTTGGTCTGGTTTGCAAATAGCCCCTTTTCATTTGGGCTAAGTCCCAGGTTGCCTGCAAACGCTACTGTACTTGGAGTATGTATATGTTAGTGTGAAATGACTATGGAGTCTTGAGCCTTTCTCTTGCCTGGCCTTCCCATCTATCTAACCTGGCTTTGTTGAGCCTACATACAAAGAAATTCCTCCTAGAAATGAAGTATCCCAAGGTTCGGCCCAGGAATGAGCATCATGGCTGATACTTGTCTTATTTGTTAGTCCTGCTCCTTCCTTCTTGCTGGTCAGCCTGCTTGGCAGTGTTTCCTCCAAAGGTCACTGCTCCTGAGAAGCAAAACTCCTCCATTATCTCTTGTTCGAGGTTCTACAAACTGCTTTCTTTCCTTGCCCCTTCAGGCCTAGGAATAGAAATGGTGTTTCATTGTTTTTAGCCCATATATGTGTATACTGTTATAGACTGGCACACATGAATCTACTTGTCAAAAATAAGCTTTTTGTTGTGAAAAAGGAAAGTTTATTCCAGTGAACAGGGACTAAAATCAGGAGATTCTAGCAGTTAAAAGGGAAGGAAGAGTATACTTTTATAAATTTGGGAGTATACTTTTAGAAGTTTGGCTATAATCATAAGGAACGTTTATGGCTTGGATGCCCAAGGACGGTCTGCTCAGGTGTGTGGACAGTCACTGGACTTCTCTGTGCTGGTGGGGGTGGTGTATGATTCATTTTGAATCCATTTGTTCTATGTGCTAAGAAGATGTTATTGTTTGCCAGAACCAGCCTATTTGCTTTGTCCTGTTGGTTTAGGCCGGGCCTGACATGTACTTTGTCCAGTTTTGCCAAAACTATGGCAAACTGTCTCTTTAATAAATTCCCCAATTTGAGTGTACCACTGTTTCCTGTTGAGACCTACTGATTCACTCCTACAGTTATTCTCTAAGTCATTACCCCATTTATTTCCTCCCTCATACCTACCAAAATCAGTAATTGTTTCATTCATTATGCTTTTGTTTTCATACTTTTTTTCTGCCATTTTCATAACCCACATGTAATCATTTGCAGCAAGGCCTGCAGAATGATCAGTTGAAATGCAATGAAATGTTAGTGACTGCCTTAGTGGAATAGATCCCTCTAAGACTCTTTTCATGATGAAAGCAGTGGTTGTATTTCATATCTATATCTGGCCCAGATTGCTATTTCCTGTCTTGGGTTTGTTCTGAATAATTTCCACTGTGACTGACAGAGCCACAGTTACCTTGCCAAGTCACATTCATTTCAACCAACGATTTGTGTGCATCTCATATGTGGGCTGGATAGTGATGGCAGGAGGCTTGGCCTGCTGCTAATAGGGAAACCCACTTGGCCTCGTATGGAGGCTCCCTGACAGGCTGAGCACTTTTTAAGTGGCTATAGCATCCACTCACCTGACACACCCAACCCTAGTCCATCCAGATAATTTATCAGAAGCCATGCAGAAGGAGCACTGGGGTCCTCTGTAGTTTTAGTGGTGGAAGGAGAATTCAGACATTCTAGACACATTAGAGAGCAGCGTTCCTTGGTGGTCTTCCAAGGGCATTCTTTCCTCCATGTCACTGATAAAAGCATTAATCTCTCATTTGCTTGGGAGACAAAGAACAATAAGTTGGAGAGTTTAGGTTCTGGAGTCTAACAAACTTAGGTTCAAATTCTGACTTTTCCTCTTATTATCTCTGAGACTCAGGGAACTCAGGTTTCATGAACCTCAGTTTTTTTCATATGCAAAATGGGAGTACGCAGTACTTCCTAGCATTACTGTGAAGATGAGAACTGAATGAGATAATGCAGATACATCATTGAGCACTTGATACCTGAGTGTTACTAGTAATGGCAAAAATAGGCCATATTTTCCATCTGTCAGCTCTGCAAGATACTTTTTAAAACAGTCCAGTATCCCATCCTCTTAGCTCGCTCCCCTCTGACTCCTCCTAATTCATTTTGAGTTTCAGTATTTGAGTATTCATTGTTAGTGATGTCAAATACTTCTCCTGCAGTTTCACCTGTTCCTTCCCTGAGTTCTTTTAAGCCCCCCTCCTTCAGCCCCCAGGGCTATCGTCTCTGATTTCTATCATCATGGTATGGCTGGAGCAGGGAGCGCATGAGCTAATGGAGGGAAGTGCAAGCTCAGGGTTCAAGCAGGTCTGTGCTGGAATCCTGCACCTGCCATGTGCCTTCCGGTGTGGATTTGTGTATTCTTTATCATTGCACTGAGCCTCAGTTTCCTCATTTGTGAATATAGTGTGACACACATTTGGGTCTAGAGCTTGCAAATGGAAGCTATCACAGTTAGACTTAGGGTTTTATTTTTGCCCTTGAGGGGCTTCTAATATATTTGGGATGACGATGATGATGATGATGATGATGATGATGATGATGATGATGATGAATGATGATGATGATGATGATAATAAAATATGTATTTCTAAAATACCAGTGATTGGGTCAAATAATTACTACCTACTGTAGGTCACATCTACTGGTTAAAGCTCTTCAGCTGTTGTGTTGCTGAGCTTACTAATGAAGTTACAGGTGGCTATTTTCTACTCAAGTACAGGGGTTGGTGTACAGTCTAAATTCCTAGCATAACTTTTGACTCCCTGAAAACGTAGTTGATAATAGCCTGCTGTTCACCAAAAGCTTTATCAGTAACAGAAAGTCTATTAACATATATTTTGTATATGTGTAATATATGATGAAAAATACTTGAGAACTGTGAGAACTCACTTTTTACTGGAATGTACAATTTACTGGGGAGATGAACTGCTCATTCAGAGGTGACTGGCACCACACAGTATTAAGATACTTAGTGTTAAAGCTTGTATTTATAGGTAAACCCCATAAAGCCTCATGTTGTCATAGAGGTCATAGAGGTGGCCGGATCTAGAGTGTCAATTGATTCATGGCACAGTGCTAGGTTCAAGGGCACTAGGATTAAGGGTGAGTGCTACCCCCCCTAAGTAGGCTAGATAAGATATAAGGATAGAAAGAGCTGTGGTCATCCCTTGCTTGCTTTGCTACCTTCTGCCCACCATAAACTGTTTCTCCACTGCAATGCCCATCTGCTCTGCCACCATGCCTTGGTCCCAGCTGATACTGGACTGAAACAAACTATGAGGTGAATAAGCCTTTCTTCCCTTTAACTTGTGGATATTGGGCATTTTGTCTCAGCAAGGAGAAAAGTAATTGATACACTCAGCGTACTTGAGCTCACCACCATAGCAACAGGAGGGTGCTATACAGTCATTACAGTGGTACAGAGTATACTACAGTTGATTCTATGTCAGTATGCTTTTGTTCACTGCATCTTTACATTTGCTTATATTTTTCTTGACTCTGAAGAATGCTACATATATATGGTCTGTGTTTGTGTGAAAATGTTTTGATACATTTTAACTTTTATAATAGGGTTGTGTATATTTTATGGTAGCAATTATAAAACAGACTTATGGTAGCAGTTATAATACAGACTTATCTACATAGATTTTTTACACTCATGGAATATTTAACTTTTTCTTAAATTATTTGATATTTCTAGACTAAACAAGTTGTTTATTTCTTGGCTACATGAGTTTTTTCAAATTGTCCCACATTTTAAAAAAAGATGTCATACACAGTTCAAACTTGTGTTGTTCAAGGGTCGAGCTGTGTTGATCCAGTCAAAGGCTAGTGTTTTGCCTTTTCTTTCTTTTAT